CCATAGAAGTTCAGGAAAAGGTATAGTAAAGAAACCGTCAAAAAACATATATTTAATTTGTGGAGAATTAAAACGACGCCATGCACATAACAACGACGACTCTCCGGAAATGAAGACACTTCGTGGTCTTACGGCAAAAAAGTGTGCGCCCGTCCAGCGCTTTAATAACTTCAAAATCGATTTCATCGCTTGGCTTGCCTCCTTAAAATTACGTAAGATCATTCACCTGCGCCAAATCGCACCATATCTCCCAGTTATTGGTATATCTAGACTGACGACGTGGCTTAACCCACACGGGACTCAAATTGGGAGTGAACCTACAGGGACATGACACACAACGACTTGCGTTGTCAGTCTTAATCTGCAAACCGCCCTGTAAATGTCCCGTCTTTTCCCCCACGCTCGCTGTTGACATGCGAAAATTTCGACCGACAAATTTTCCCCCACATTAATAATTCCACGAAGCAATGATTACGTACCCGACTCGCTCGGTTACGTTATCAGGAGTGTAGAATATAATCTATATATTATACACTCCTGACGATATGGTGATGACCCTCAAATCACATATGCAACGATTGTGTGTGTGTACCCACGTGAACAGTAACGCAACGTAACGCTAGCAGGGGCATGTACAGGATTTTTAACAGGGGGGTGTCTAACCGTATCCCAAACTTGCGAGCACGCGAAGGGGGGTCTGAATTTTTATGAAATTAGACCCCCTTAGATGCGTTTTCTGCGCGAGCAGGGCTGTACATTGTGTTATATTAATGTGATCTTACATTTTTAGCTCATCTGACATAGTCAGATGCAGCTTGTAGAATCGCATGAGCGTGCGTCCGTTCAGCCGTGCGTCCGTCCGTCCGTGCGTGCGTGCGTTCGTCAACAGTTGGGCACAAATCTAAACGGCTCGACGTACGGATTCGAAAGTCGGGACGTGGGGGGTAATCCGAAAACGAGTTTTCGCACTGAGCTGCCCTCTCCTACTCCTCGCACCCGATGCTCTTCATGCTGCCTTTGACGCTTCTACGGCCTTCCCTCCACACCTCAGCGGCTCTTCACTTGCCGCCCTTCCCATACTCCCTCCACACCAGCGCCCGTTCTTTCACTGTCACCGCTTCCCTACCTCCCTCACACTAGGCGCCTCTTCACTGCTGCACTATTCCTGTCCTCGCCTCACGACCAGCCGCGTCGCTTCCACTTCACCCTTCGCCCTTACCTCCCCTCACACCAGCCGCCTCTTCACTGCGACCCTTCCCCTTACCTTCTCACACCTAGCGACCTCTTCACTGCTGCCCTTTTCCTTACCTCCCATCACACCAGCGCCTCTTCACGCGCCATTGTTTCCCCTACCTACCCTCACACCAGCACCTCTCACTGCTCACCCTTACCCTACCTTCCCTCAACCAGCGCCTCTATCACTGCCGCTTCCCCTACCTTCCGTCACCCCGCGCCCTCTTCACTGCCCTGCCTTTCCCCTACCTCCTCACTACCCGCGCCTCTTTCACTGTCACCCTTCCCTCTCCCTACACCCAGCACTCTTTCACTGACGCCTTCCCCTACCTTCCTCACACTCAGCGCTACTCTTCACTGCCCGCCCCTTCCTCTTAACCTTCCTGCACATCCGTCGCCTCTTCACTGCCGCCCTTCCCTACCTTCGCTCACAATCAGCGCCCATCTTCACTTGCGCCCTTTCCCCTACCTCCCTTACTTGAAGCGCCCCTTCCTCCCCAGCCCTCACCAAAACCTCACCTCACGCTCGTCGTGGCCTACAAGAAGCCCTTTGAAAGGAAATATAGAACGACAGAGAAGGGTATTTGCCCTATTTGTGATACGCCCCCCCCTCCGATACGGTGGTGTATTGATGGCGACCGTAGTCGTTGTATGGGAAGTTTTGGGTACGGTAACACGATCTTCCGGACGCGATCTCGTAATCAGGGGCCACCGTGACCGGTTCGCCTGCCGATGGTGCTCGATTTTGTTGGCGCCCCCTGGAGAGATGCGCGACGAAGGTGTCGCGGGGAATGTTCGGAAACCATTGTCGGCGGTGTTGCGTGCGATCAGTATGCAGCGATTGTAGTGGAAGAGAAGTTTTGCGAATTCCCGTGCCGCACCCTCCAGGCGAACGCCCGTAACCTTCCCCCACAGAGATCGTCTTTTTTAGCAAATTTTCTGCGGAAATCGCCTTCGAGAAACTACGAAAAGCGCAGAGTCTTTAACGCTCATAAGAGCAGCCCGCGCTGTGGCCGTTAATCGTTCGCGCGTTTGAAGTTACGATCTGCATTAGATTTAACTAATTATCGAACTGGTGTGTGTATAGTGCTGCCCCACTAATCCAGGATCTATTTATTCTGTGCTATGATATTCTGTCCGATTAGCTCGGTGCAATGATATACATAAGCAATCCGTAAGGCAGGAGATCACTGCTATAGAGCCTGTCTGTATTGTAAGCCTTTCTAGTCAGGGGCGTGTACGAGCGGGGGGCGTCTCACATTTTAAAAATTTGCTGCGGGCCGAGGGCCCCTCCAGACCCCCCAGACCCCCCCCCGACCCCCTTTCGCCGTCGCTCGCAAGTTCTTGGGAATACGGTTACGACACCCCTGTTAAAATCCTTAATGCCCACTGCTAGCGTTTATGTTAGCGTTACTCGTTCGCGTGCGCGTACAAACAACACACAATCTGGCATATGTGATTTGAGGTCATACCATATCGTCAGGAGTGTATAATATATACGATTTATATTCTACACTCCTGCATAACGTAACCGAGCCGCGAGGTCAGGGTACGTAATCATTGCTTCGGTCGGATCTATTAATGTGGGGG